CCCATGTGCACGTTAAAGAACACAGTACACTCTTCGGGAAAGAGTAGGGGATTGTCTCCCGGTGTACTGTCCAATCACCACCAGAAGGACCCCACTGGAAATAAGTCTTCTTCTAGACTTTCGTGGGCAATCCTTGGTGTTTACACTGAATAAAATCCAATCCAATCCAAAGGCCTGATGAAAGAATTGAGCGGAGACACAGCCACAAAAAAACCACCGAAAAAGCAAAGAGAAAAGATTGGGAGACCAGCAAAACATGAGCAGTTTACGAGCTTAGTTGACGTTACGAACCAATTTCTCAGCGCAAACGGTTTTTTTGCAGTGCAGGAAAGGCGACGTACGTCTGCAGCAACAACTTGCGGTGTCACACTGAATGACATAACAGAACATTTGAAGGAAAATGTAGATGGACTCCAAGAGGCAGGAATAAGTCGGACAACTGTGCATAGGTAATTTTGTAGTTTTTTGTTTAATGCTTGTATTATCGTCACCATTATTGGATATTGTTGGTAATACAGTACATTAATTTTTAATGACACCTTGGGAATTTTTTTTTTGTTAATTTTCATTAAATCTTGGGATATATAGAATGATATGGATTTATATACATAAGTGCAAAAGCTGCTATAGCCTTATAACAACATAATTGACAATTGTTCGATAATGTTAATTGTTTAAAGCGATTTTCATCATTTTTCAAAAACAATAATGCACATTTTTGTTCCTAAAGTTATTGATTTTATTATTATTATTATTGTTATTATTATTATTATTATTATTATTATTATTATTAATATTATTACAGTATTTTAATGTTTACATTTGACAGGTTGATGACTGCTCCACGAAAAAACACCAAAAATGGGGCACGGTTCAAAGGGCTAGTAAAAGCTCGGGTACCGCGAAAATCAAACAATGCTGTCAAGAAATCCCATCCAGAGTGCAATGTTAAATGAGGCTTGCACTTTCTCCAAAGACGACTGTATAAGAGTGTCGTGCGACGATAAAAATAAAATAAATGTGGGAACTTTAGCGGTTAGTCGCTATCACCAAATCCGGCGATTTTATCTTGAGGACGACCAACCTGAGTACAATGACCATGACTTTCCATACGCTGGCTCCAAAATAATACCATCAGGGTATTTGATTATGGAAACAAAAGAAAAAACTTCTAGAAAACGATCAAGAAGTGAAGAGCGACAGAAGGCGCGTGAAACCAACAGGCGCTCAAGGTCGCATTCTCCCATCACGAGGAAGGATGTTGACAATGATGGTAGCTTCCATAATGATAAGTATGGGAGAATGCATGTGACTTATGGCAGAACAGGGCCAATGAATATATTCAACAGAGCGGGAATGTTTCATTCTTCTACTGCTGAAACGCACGCAAACGTTTTCCACCGTATTTTAAGCGATAACAAATTTAAAGGCAAAACTGTTTGTATGATCATGTCTGATGGTGGTCCGGACTGGTCCACAAAGTCCACCAAAACATTGATATATCAGGGGCGGCTTTGGAGAGATTTGAACTTTGATTACTATGCAGTGGCAAACCTGGCAGCAGGGCACTCCAAAGAAAATCCTATAGAACATCTGTGGTCGCCACTATTGAAACAATTGGTAAGCGTTACTCTACCAATAACTCTACCAGGTGAAGCAATACCACCTTCTGAACAGAACATCTCAGAAGAAGAAAAGAAAAGAAAGAATATCAAAGTCTTCGATAGTGCGATCGATCAATTAAATTGCTATTGGAATATGACCCACGATGGATTTAAAGTTAAACCGGTAAAGATTGCATGTGTGGAAGGTGTAAAAGTATATTCGGATCATGCCGTTATGAAAGAATTCTGCAAATCAGGTATTAAGAAAATTCTTGGCACTAGAGCTTTTTTTTTACTTAAACACTGCACAAGGAGGACCAATATGTTGGAATTTGTGAAGTGCAGGGACACCCAGTGCAATCATTGCACCACGAACACAGTTAGAAAAACCAAGTTTATGGATTACATCGGATAATGTGAAGACAGAATGTTTACACCAACCTACAGTAAAGACTTAGAGGGACATTACAGTACCTGGCTGGAAATGAAAAACAGAGTAATTCACATGAAAGAACAAATGATAGGTGAGTGTTAATTTAAAATCGAACTACCTTCTTGGTTCAATTCAAACATGCACCGTATCATCCATTCGTAAGTTCAAAACATTCCTTTTAAGTAGGCCTATATTATGTACAGTATTAAAGTATTTTCACAGCCACAAATAGCAATTATAGGAAAGCTACTCATTAAACTGGCAGCAGTAAACTAAAATAAACATAGATTGCTTTATACTGTATTTACCAATATAAATAGATTCAACATCATTGCTACAAGGTACCAATAAATTATACAATAGACCTACTATTATACTACAACATTATAAGAGTAAAATAATGTAGTATAAGACACTTAATTTGATATAAACAATGTAAAAAGGTACAATATAAATTATTTCCTTCAGGAATAGACAGTGGTTGCCCGTCTCTCCAGGGAAAAACAAGACAAGAGTTAATGTGTGAACAAGGTTGCAAATATGTTCACACAACGAAAACGGACGCAAATTGTCACAAACTGCTTGTGCATTATGGCGAGTGAAGAGGTCGAAAACGAAAGGCCAATGCAACGTCATAGTTTCAAAAGGTATATATATTTTTTTTTATTGTCAATTTACATTTACTACACTACAGATATACTTTATTAATATTGTCATTATTATTTCTATGTAGGCCTATATTAATATTATTCACAGTTAATTTTTAGGCTACAGTATTAGTATTAATATTTTTGTTAATAATAAAGTATCAATGCTGCATTTTGCTGAGCACAACACAATTTCAAGCATGATCCGATAGTCTTCAATATTTATTTCAATTAATAGATAGTCAACACTGGGGCTCTCTGACTGGCAATAACTATGTGTTGTTAATATTACGTAACATAGGCCTAATCCCTAGTGTATAGGTTAAAGGGTGGGTCCCCAACGCATATTGCAACCACGCCAAAAAAACAAGGACTTTCGCATTCTGCTGTAGTCTACAGCATTCTGCTGTAGACTTCATTCGTGACTAGATCATTCTGTAAAGCGCACTTGGTAAAATTTCAGACTTGCCAGACTTCAAAATGTTTCCTGTTGGAAAAAAGGTCCAAGCTGTGGATCCAGCGAGTGGGTGTTGGCTACATGGCACTGTGCGGGATGTCAGTGAGTTTCATTACTCAATCAAGTGGACTGGATATCAAGCTAAAAACTGGGTTGAGAAACAAATGTGCAGGGAGCAGCTACTGAAGCGGAGTGGATTCACTGTGGACAAATCTAATTTCCCCATCTTCAAGTGTCCACAAAATTTGCAGGCAGGTGACAAGGTATGCTGCATTAAAGCTGATTCTTCAAAGGGACAGACACTTACCATATCCATCAACGACAAATTCAAGTGCAAGGTAAAACTTTTTTAAAGACCATTCCCCAATCAGATTGTTTCCAAATTATTTTTAAAAACCAGCCGAAAAAGTCAATTTAAAATCGCATTTAATGTTTTATTAAACTTCACAAGATGTAAAAACATTAAGAGGTGTAAGACAATACTTTACGCGGAAATGTTCTGTTTGTAGTATCGACACACTATCTACATTGCGAGAAATGCTTAAATATTATAATATTTGATGCACAGCTTTAGCGCCAGTCATAAAGAAGAAGAAAAACAAAAAAAACAAAAAAAAAACAAAAACAAACTGGCTTGTCATTAGCGCTGAAAGATGTTAGAAAGTACTGTACTACAAAGTCCTGTATATTAAACATTCAGTCTGGGTATAAAATGCTCCATATTCATAGGCCGCTCAGGTCTTGATTTCCGAATATAACATAATGGTGTCAAAAATATTTTTTTTCTTCATAGGCCTGTACCTTTTGTTAAATTCCGATGTTTCAAATTTCAGTGAATGTTGAGATATTTTTATCACTATTTTCATACCTTGTGCTTGTGTTGAAGGAAATAATAATATTGAAATTTGACTGATGTTTTATATTGGCTTAAAACTTTGAAAATATGCAACTTAGTCGTGGCTGCGATTTTAATGTAAAAAAAAGAAACTAAAACGAGAATCATAAAAACATTCTCTGTACTCAAACATGCTTTTTATCTATTTTTAATTAAACCAGGTGACAACAATTGAACAAGGTAATTCAACAAAAGGACGCACATCTCCGCTCTCGAACATAGCGCGTGCGTACAGTCATTTGATCTTTACTGTGGCATCGACAATCCGATACTAGTTGCGAGTACAGCCGTCAATTATTAGTCTATGCGTGCCATTCGTGTTATGGTGTATTTTATTAATTTTGGGTACTTCGCAATGTCTGTTACATTTGATTTTTTTTAACCGCAAGCTTGTTAAATGCTTCTATAAACTGCAATTTGATTTGTGAAAATTGACCAAGAAAATGAAAAGTTATAGCAATTCAAAATTTTTAATCTGTCATTTTGACAATGTTGGCATAAGGTGCCGAGGACGAACAA